ACTGATGTAAAGAATCACTCGTGGTTAATTAATAATTTTGTTTAATTTTGGAGTGGCAATAATCAATTTTTCGTTCGGATTTAAGTCTGCAGTCATTAATAGCTAACGAGCAAGTATTTTGCTATGTTCTTTTATTATTATTAAAGAGTATAATATTTTATTACAAATAATGATGGTGATCAAAACAAGTTCAAACATCAACGTGACATAATGAATAATATTGAAAATACCGTTGTCTCGTCCAAAATATTGGAATACACATATTACATAAACATGTATATTTATAAAAATAGTTCTAAAAATCCAGTCCCTTTTTTGTCTTAAAACATGATCCTTATATTACACTTTATTTCTTTCGTGTGGCATCTTAGAAATAAATCTTAAATCAATGAATTGGATGATTGACCCCATTATTTAAGTTTCCAGGTTTTATTTATACTTTGTCCTATTAATAACGTCTTTTGCAATCTGCTTTTTTTTAGCTTGATTATTAATCTCAAGTTGATTTGTTTTTAATAAATTGCAAGTTTGGAGATTACGTGGTAAACATAACACACAGGACAAGCTAAAAACACAAATACCAATTGAAGATACTGTAGAGCTTGAATAGTATAAGTAGACAATCACTCAACACCATGTATATATTATATTGTTTAATTTTATAAAGTTTTATAGAAAATTTTAACCATACATCTCATGTATCCATTAATTTTGCATTTCATAAAATAAATTGTATTTTATAGTGACAGTACAAGTGACATGTGTCTAGTACTGTTACCATAAAAAATACCTTACTTATTTGGATAATAGTTAAAATTCTAGGTTATGCAGTATGAACTAATTGAGGTTTAAAGGTTTTTATGAGTTTATTTTTTGTTTAGTTGTTTGCGCAACAAAAATGACTTAGGTCACGTAGATTGAAGTTACTACGTTTTGTTGGGTAAGGAGATTTAAATTCTCTATCACCACCCCCCTCAACAAAGATGTGCTTTTGAATCTACCCAAAAATTACTTTTGATAACAGAATGTAGATTTATCTGTATAATAAAAGTATCATGTAAATAATTCATTTTAATATTCCATATTTATTAGAAAAAATCAAATATTTCATAGCTGATAGATCGTAATGCAAAATAAACATTTGCATATTATCGAGATCATCCGGTTCTCTTCGTCATAAGTGTGTTTATTATATTATGTACACATATGTGCAAGTACCCGTGACTCTTAAAATACTTTATGTCTCCGGAATCAAACGATCGATCATAAAGACGATAGCTTTGGGGGCTTAGGAGCCCCTCCCTCGACAGAATGACCTGGTGCTTCCCCTCCTCGCTTCCGTCCATCCATTTTTTCCTCCATCCATCCATCCATCCATCTACCCATCCATCCGTTTATTCGTAGTCTCGTACCCTCGTCGTAATCTTGGGGGAATCTCGATGCCTCAGTTTTAACCTCTCCCCTCTCTAGCTTGAATGCTCTCTTTTCCGGCCTCCATATGTCTCTCTCTCTCTCACACACACACACACACACACACACACACAAATTCATGCAGCGGAATATGGACGCATATTCCTGCGGCAACAGACCACGTCCATTTGATTTGCATTCGGGATGTCGTTATCACCATAAAATGAGCTTACGACTTTATGTAGATTCTCGTCGTGTCGAGCAGACCATCTCTTTCACGATTATACCTCCCATCCTGCCCTACTTCCTTTTCTTTTAATTTTACATTCTTCTTTTCTAGTTTCCCCACAATTGCTACTGAATTATAATTTGAATACTACGAGGGAATCTCAGGAGGCTTTTCCTTCCCTACATTTGTAAGAGCTCACTTTGGCTTGCGCTAATAATAGACACAAATTCATAAGACTCAAAGAATGAAAGGAAATAGACCGAGAAGACAACAACAAACAGCTTTATTTGAGAATAACAAAAGGAACAGTTGTTTCGTCGACTTCGTTTGCTGGGCTGTCGATTATGCTGTTGTTAACGTAGTCGAATACGTAGCGGATCGTGAATCGTGTATACGAAAAGTGAGAGAAAGAAAAAGAGGAAATAAGAAGGAGATAGCTGTTGTAATGGAAGTATCGTGAGCTATAAGTTTGGTTTATTTCACTAGCCCTCCACGAACAATGTGACTTACAAGAGATGGTTAGTAAGAGTACGCTATATGACGTTGAGAAAAAGTTGAAGATAATTTTTCTTTCTTGAAAGTCAACATTGATGTCAGGAGTGACAAGTATCCGCGGGATGAGTTTCATTTGAGTTGAAATCGATTTTGAAAATTTAAATCGAGTTAGTTTTCTACTTTTTTCAAACCCTACGTATAATTTATTATGCACTGATCCGAGTTTTGTGAAAAAGTTGTCTTTCGCCCTGGATTGGAGAGTGTACGCTTGTGTATTTACTGTTCATCGAGCTTCAGATATATATGTCTACCGAAACGAGGGGAGAAAAAGTTCGGAAAAGCGAGTTTACAAGGAATACAGTGAGAGGGAAGAAGAGGTCTTGCACTCGGTCAGAAGCTACACTATAGAACAGAACAGATTCGCTGATTACAAAGAGACCAAGTTTCAAATCAGATATGGGGTGCAGTGGAAAGAGAGCCATATAGCGTGGGGTAGGAGAGGCAAAGAAAGAGTGAGGGGCGATGGTAGAGCGAGCGAGCAAGCGAGCAAGCGGCTGGTGGTGCAATTTAAAGTTACACTTTGCACCGAGGTCCTTCGCGCGAACGGCCATTTGAATATACATGTAAATATGTATACACATATTATATACATGCATATACAGAGCTGGTACTGATGCGTAACTTTCTTCGAGACTGGGTTCAAAGGGCATTTGAAATGAAGCAGAGTAAGAGAGTCAGGGGTAGGGAGTGGGGCACAATGGGCATTTAATAATGCAATTATGAGCGTTGCGTGCTGCATGAAATATATACGCTTCATTCCATACTTGGTGTCTGTTCCACCCCATCCCATTTCTCTCTTTCCTATTCCGCTGCGGGTGAGTTTCCGAATTCGCATACGAGACCTGCCTGCTCGCTGTAGCCTCGAATTCGCAATGAAGTTATTAGACATTAGGAACACTCGAAAGGAACGATTATGGTATATGTGCCAGCTGCACGGCCAAACCGGACTTTCTGAATGTACAAGATTGCATATTTAAACAGGGGAGTTTCGTGTTCCCTTGCTACATTCTGCTACAGGTCTGGGTTGGTTCTCTGACAGAGTTACTATGAATAAGAATCATAATACTTTACATATGTATCTCGGAAATCAGATTCTACTATTTTTGTTTGGAGTGAAACTGAAGTACATTTCTTGGTAAGGATGATTCTTTGTAGTCCGACATATCTAGTAATCTTGATTTTTATCTGATCGTACAATTTTTTAATTTTTTTTTTTTACTTTATCGGTAAATTAATAGTGAATATATTAGGTCAGTATATAAAACATTTTTATGAGTTTAGTAGATAGTAGTAAGGGATCTAGGGGCTAACAATTTAAAAAAAAAAAAAAAATTTATCTATTTGCTGTTTTAGTGTTAAGAAATACCTTGTGACTAAGAAATACTAAGATTTACCTTTAATGTTTATTTGCCCAACATTGAAAAAAAAAATAAGAATAAAAAAAATAGTTGTTACAACTTACCTCTTCTTTGAGGCTAGTACTTTTTTACTTTAAGCTATATTTTTTGATAGTATTCTAATCTCTCGTAGATTTAAGGATAGGTACGATTTTTCCTAAAAAATTGTTACAACTGACCTCGTAACATAATTTGTATACGTAACATCATAAAATTATAATGCTCAATATGATTTTTTATAAAAAAATACTAAAACTTAGCACAAATTTCGACTACATACAAAAATAAAATTTGTGAAGTAATAGGTTATGCACGTTAGATGGAGTTTTTACGAAATCAGTTTCGCATATTACCAACAAAAAAATAACAACCATAAATACTTGTGTGGTTACCACATTGTCTGGCAGAATATTAAGTGATAAACTTATGCATCATAATACAGAAATTTAATTAAGAAAAAATATTAATCATAAAGTTGAGATTTCGAACAAAACTTGTGTGTAACTACATACTACTGTTTCGAGTAACCCCTACCTCTCTGACTCACAGCGTCAAAAAGATGCACAGCACAAAAATGATGTAGTACAAAAATATTGGCTTTCAAATTAATCTCAGCATTTTTACTGAAAGCGATGATAAATATTTCATGAATTAGATAACTGACATCTGATGAAGTAGAAAACAATTTAATATGAAAAATATATCGCAGATAGTAGTGACAATAATGTAGAATCAGAGTTAATTACATCCTACTCTGTCTTATACCTTTTGACGCGATCATACGGACTTTTTTTCGAATCATTGCTACAAATAAAAATCTAAGTTGAATACTTTTGAATAACTTACGGTCCAACTTCCTTCTTCTTCATAGAAAAGATTTTTATCCAGTTAACTATTTGACATGGTAACTACACATTTCTGCTTTTGTTTTATGGGATAAAGCGCAAACACATTTTTGATAACACTTAGCGAAAATTTTTACTGTCATAGTTTCAGTTTTTATCTATCGATGAAAGTCTTAAAAATTAGAACTTTTTTGTCGGTCAACGTAAGAGTCTAACAAGTAATGATAGCCATCCTCAAATATCAACTCACATTTATGAAAGTATTTTACAAAAAACAAAAATTTCCTTATATTATACAATTAATAAATTATGACGAAGTATATTATGATAAATAATCGTACTTTTAGCATGAGGAAGCATGGATTGAAACTGAGAAGCACTTCTGCACATTTGAACGCCAAGTAGTATCATTTGTTAGGATATCATTTGGAGCATATATCTCAGGTAGCAAGCACACAAAAATTCGTTGTGAGTTATTCGAAGTACGATTTATTTTTATGCATGATTAATTTACTTTTTTTTAACAATGTCAATATTTTATGTTTATATATACATTTGCAGACTTATAATAATGGTGATTCCTCTTCAAACAATTGTCTTTGACTTGGCTAATAAAATGCAAAATGGTGGGAAAAAAAAAAAATTACAACTGACAGTAGTTATGTCCTCATTTAACCTTTATCCTTTTTTTTCTGATGGATTAACATTGGATGTATCTTCTATGATGTTGTAGTGACTACCAACAACACCGGCATCACCATTATAGTCTATTTTAGTAAATCTAAATTGGTAATAATCCTCCTTCTTGGAAGTACCTGGAGTAATACTTGATTGCAGTTAATTTGTTGAATTCGCGGATTTCTTAACATTTTCCTTTACCTTTAATGGTTTTTTACTTTTTACAGTACTTCTGTCTGGTACAATTCTTTGGGCAAAATCTCTACTATATCCGAGACTGGTAATGGTATCGAGCGTAACGGAACTCCTTAAAAGATTTTTGAGAGTGTGAATTTGCACAGGCTTGTGTTTCATGTACCGAGAGGGCAGTTGTTTTGTATCTAAATCTACACTGTACCATCTACCATTTTTTATTATATTATTCAGGAAAAACTTAAGTAAATCTATGTGCTCCTCTACGACGCTTGGTATTTTCGGGGCTTTCGTTGTACGTGCAGAGGTGCTTTTTGGAGCAACAGTCATAGTAGCAGCTTCCTTGGTTTCTGAAAGATAATTTAATTTATATAAAACAATGTCTTAATGACTAATTGACGTGATCCCCAAAGAAAAAATGTAAGAAGTTTACTTTACGTCATGAAAGATACTATTTTTGGTAAACTGTGTAGTGTATCAATTTAAAGCTCTTAGGAGTGCAAGACATGCTTTTGTAGCCATGCAGTAAGTATAAGTACATGCTTTCTCCCTCACGAGCTGAAGGTATGCTCGCATAGGAAGTCTGATCCTTTAACTGTATCAATGGATCACCTAGCTAACACATAGCTAAGGGAATTTTTTGATTGGTTAATACGACCGTATCGGCTGTGTCAAACCTAGTCAGCGTTAGAGAACCAGATCACAGAGGCATATATTAGAGAGAGAGAGAGAGAGAGAGAGAGAGAGAGAGAGAGAGATACAGAGATAAAAAGGCAGTCAAAGTAAGAGAACTTCTGAAATATAATTTGGTAAATTCTCATTGTATTAGTTAGGTTTACTCACCCACCAATACCAAAATGAGGACTTACAACGTAAAGATCTACCAATTTAAAAAGTTACCTCACATGATTGTGAAACAAAATTTATGCTTACACAGAAAATTTTTTTAATAAAAATTCGATTTCTCCACAACATACTAAAGTGTAGTACAATAAATAATTTAGTGTCACAATTAGTTAAGTAAAGTAAAAGAAAAATCAAAGTAACAGTCTATTCAGTTTCTACTAACACAAGTTATACAGTTAGCAAACTCTGAAATCTAGCTTATGAGGCATGAAAATTCATCAAATCGTCCAAAATCTTTTGTTATCTTCTTTACTCTTTCGGAACTAAAGGTTAAAGATTTTGAGAAGAAAAATCCTTATTGAATAGTGTTTTGTAAAGATCCCCAATTTGAAATGATCTAAAATTATTTTTTATGCTAAATATTGATGTTATTAGAAAAAAGGTTAATTTACTAATTTTTATGCCTTTAGAATCTGAGGGCCCTAAGTTCTGCCATAATCCAAAATATTAAACTAAGTGAGTTTTAACTATGTCAAACTTATACCATCTTAAGCCAGGTGATTTTTTCTCTTCAATGAAACTTGCTCAATTTAGAAGTATAGCATTATAATATAAAAATTGAAAATACGAAATACATTTGAGTTAAATCAGGTACAAATTTCCTAAGATTGTCATAATAATATATATGTTTGTATACATAAACTCATATATAATAACATGCCATACCTAACAACAGTCTCTTTTTGTTAAAAATACTTTGCTACACAAATAGAGATTAAGAGTTAAGAGATTAAGAATGGAAAATTTTTTTTTTCAACAAAAACTAAACCACACATGCCTTAAAATATTTAAATGTTTATTCCAAAAAAATTGGACATCGTCACTGTAATGTTGCGTGAAAATTTTTACTTCTTCTTATATGTAGGATCATAAAAAAACAGGGTAAATCTTTCAATCAAATTTCAAAAATAAGATAATTTCGAATTGAATGAAATTTATTTTACATTACTAAATAACACGTATTGTTGTATGTTAATGAATACATAAATATTCAATAAAAATAGCATTTATAACTAATATCGCAAATGACCATTTCTAATTTAACAGGGTTTCATGTTCTTCGTAAAAGTATCAATGCAAATGCGCAAAAACAATTTGTTACATAAATTTTCCTAGTGAACGCGCTTTGCAAGACCACACATGGCAGAGTTTCAAACAGATATAGTCATCTCAGTCTAATTTTTACAAATTATTAGTTATTAATGCTTAAATCAACTCTTCAAATTAATTACTGGATGTAAAAATTCTGTTTCTAGAACCACATCTTTAAGATACGAAGTATACAAGAAAATGGCAGAAAAGCTTGTATACAAATTTAGTCGCACTATGTACATGGGTAACAGTTTTTATAATCGTGGGTAGAAAAAAGCATTTTCCGCCCTCATTTGCATGTGGAAAATTCAATTTCTCGCACCAAATATAGAGCTGGAGTTCACAGTTTGCACACACGTACTGTTAAAAATTTTAATCGCAACTTCAGAAAGTTTTGACGCCAGAGACAACATCTTAAAATAACTACAGATAGTTTTCAAGAGTCAACTTAAAAAAAAAAAAATAGCAACTAGGTTACAATCAAAAGTTGGAACCTGATGCGTGAATGTACTATTGTCAGGCTGCATTGTTAATTCCACGAAATTGTTCAATTTTTCAAAATAATTTTTGAATATTAATACTAGAAGACACTTCTATACCTTTGATAAAAAAGTACTGTAGTATATTGGACTATCTTTTGAAGTTTATATCAGGTGGCAGGTACACAAATAATTGTAAGGACTATGTAATTTTTGATTTGTCTGATTTTAAATAAGATAAATATCCTTAATTAATAAATGTATCAGTAATTTCGTTACTATTTATAAAAAAACAGAAAATAAAGTAATTATCAATAATATTGCCAACAAAATATCTACGGTTAAAAAAGGTACAACTAACTCTAGCTATGTTCTCAATTAACTATGATCTTTTTTTTCAAATACATTATCATTAGATGTATCTTCCTCAATTTCGTAGTGACTATCATCATCGGTATCACCGTTACATGTTACTTTAGTAAAAATATCTTGGTAATCATCCTTCTTAGACGTACTTGGAGTTACAGTTGATTGCAATTTGTTTAGCGTAATTGCACGATTGCTTATGACGTCCTTCATCTTTAATGGTCTCCTATTTTTCACCATATTTCTAACTGGTACAACTTTTTGGGCAAAATCTCTTTCGTACCCGAGACAGCAAATAGTATCGATGGTGATAGACCTCATAAAACGGTTTTTGAGAGTATGAATTTGCATAGGCTTGTGTTTCATGTACTGAGGGGGCAGTTTTTTTGAATCTAAATCTGCACTGTACCATCTACCATTTTTCAGTATGTTATTCAGAAAAAATTTAAATAAGTCTAAGTGTTCCCTTATTATGCTCGGTATTTTGAAGTTATTTGTTCTGTTTGTGAAGATCCATTTAGGAGCATCAATGATAGCAGCTTCCTTGACTTCTGAAAGACGATTTGATTTTCGAAATAGTATCTTTAAATGACCTATTTGACGTCATTTTTACAAGTAATAAATTACAACTTCGAATTACAATATGGATGTTGTCTTGTTATAGGTATAAGAAGCAATGTTCTGAGATTAATATTTTTGATAGAGTTAGAAGTACTTTTGTAGCCATGCGAAAAACATATAACAGACATCCTTTTTCGTTCATACGCTCAAGGTATTATTACAACTACCAAGTAAGAATATAAGAGGAAAAAGAAAATGGAAACGAGAATACGCATATGAAGACAGATAGGCAGAAAAAGGACATCTGCAAATTATGTCTAAGATAAAATTAGATTTCTTGTTGCAATTTAAAATGTTCCTCTGATTTTAGTGCTTCTTTTTAATTTTTTTCCTGTTTTCTTGTGTAAGAGCCATAAAGTTCGGCATAGTAGTTTTTTTCACACTTCATTGAACAGGTCTCAAGCCAATTTTTAACTTATTGGTTTCTTCATGTCGTCTATTGGTTCACAACATGAAATTTCATGCTAGGAAGGAAGTCTTTGAGCTCCATACAATGTAAAAATATGCAATTCTAAAACTTATTTTTATCACTACATTGTCATATTAAGAAAATATCTTACAAAAAATATACGTACAAGTTGTGTGTAGTCTAGTCTAGTCTATGTCTAGTTGTTTTAACTATGTATAATTAGCCAATTTTCACGATTTACGAGTCTATAGATAAAAATTTTGGTTCTCTTAATTAACGGAAAACATTTAGGTAAGGTGTTTTTCCTAGTGTCACAATAGTTGAGAAGGGGTCAATGCCCACATCTTATTTAATTTTTTTTTATCTAGCGTATACGTACACCAGTTGGGCACTTATTTGATAAGAGGAAAATTCAAACATCTGATCCATATTGATGGGTTTCATAATATAACGTTTTGTATCAACAGATACTTTTCACACAAATAATTAGTGTCCAGCTAGTGTACTAATTGGAACATAAAATAGAGAGAAAGATAGATTTAGTTCTATGCATAACTTATGCATTGTACAAAATGTCACATACACTGGATTTTGTAAGTATCTTATCAATACTTGTACCATTTTATCATTTGTTTCTGATGCCCTTTTTTTCCAAGTATAAAACTCTTCTGAGAAGGTCCTTGGTGCAAAGTTCTTCGTAGACGACTTGATAATCCATACTACCAGGTACTATGTGCTGGGTGTAACAATCATTTCTAGCGTACCTCAGCCGTTATCGAATATAATAAAAAAAGTTTCTTTCATTAAAGCTCGCCGTGCCAATTTTTTTAATAACTTATAGTGTCTTCACTAATGTGCTAGGCAGGTAATGGTCTTCCTCAGTATGAAAACCCCTCTTAGAGTTCCAAACATTCGATACAATATAATAATTGTCTCAAAAATGAGCTTCAATTCTTAGGCTAGATAGACTAGAAGACTAGCATGCCATCCAGCTCTGCTTGTTTGTTTGTTAAAAATCAAGTAAGTGGTCAACAAAATATAAAAATAAAAAATTTCTAAATTTCAAAAATTTCATATTTTTTAGAGGCTGTGTTCGCGAAAGGCTTGGTTAATAAGGTCAGTTACCATGAGTGAGAGGGAGACATTGGTTATGAATTTTTTACAAACTTTGCATGTTTTTCAATTATTTTGTCATTAATTTTGTTAATTTTGTTCACAGAAAAATTTTATGAAAATTTGTTTGTTTGTATCCTCAATCAATAAGGATAATGACTAAAATTATTTTCAAGACTCTTTTGTACGTAAACTAGCATATGCACCATGGATTTCAAAATATTTATCATTTTTATTTTTAAATTAGTCAAAATATGTATGTTGTGCGTTCGTGGGGAGTGAATTAAAATTTGGTGAACTAGATACACATTTTCGAATTCCATTCAAAAATTGATCTTGGCAATAGTTTATTGGTGCGTAAAAATTATCAAAATCATCGCAAAAGAGTATAAAGGAAATTGTAAGTCAACCGCTGTAAGCTGCATGTAATGTTTCCGTATGTCTCAGAGCAGATTTGAAAAATCTCAAGAAAGTTGCTAAAAAGGTGATTCTCTAACAAGTTTTAATAATGTATTATAATATTTCACAGACGTAACAAATATATTTCAAAAAGAGACAGAAGTGTAAAATAAGTTACCAAATATTATGAAATCCTAAATAAACAGCAAAAAAAAAAAAATTTCAGCATTACCGAAGATACGAAAAAAAATATTAAGAAACATATGTAATTAAATTAAAAAGATTCTGAAACAAATTTCTAACAATAATGAAACCGTTAAAGATACCAGAAGTTTTTGCAACATTTTAAACTTCGTGGATTTTATTTTCATTAGAATATAGAGTATATTTTAAGTTTTATTTTAACACATCATGTTGTCTGAGGTATTACACCAATATATTTCTACTAATGAAACGTTCTAGTTTAGTTTGACTATTAATCTTTTAGTGTAGTTGTAGTAGCTTAGTAATAATACTCAATGGCAATCCATGTTCATGGAAAATTTGACAAAATAAAAATTTTGTCATCTGATTACTTTTAAATGTAGTTGTCAGCAAATTGTTAAGTTGAATTTTGAGACTTCAAATCAATTGCTGTATGCTGGTGTTTGCTGTTAATATACTTATTATTATCCCTACATTGTTATTTCGATTGTCATGTTAAAAGATTGTTTTCTTTATTCATCTAACAGTAAAAAAGAGCATGGAACTTTTTTATGATTTAGAATACAATTCTGAAGTCTTCAGAACATAGTTTAGAATTTTAAAAATTTGTATGATCACCACTAGTTGTATATTCTGTTTGAAGCATTATTGGCCATTGAAAGAAAAATGTAAATTCAATATTAATCTTTTTTGTGTATGACACTCCAAGTTACAGTAGGGCTACACTCGAGACTTTTTCGAATCTTAAGAAGATCATCATGAATTCCAAAAGTAGGCTAAAGATTAGTCATGATTTGTATAAACATAAGTACCTTAATTTTTAAATAGTTAATAATAAAAAAATTAGTAATACTGTAACAAATAAAAATAGTCGTTTCGAGTTAGTTCCAATTTTTGTCTTGACTTAGCCCTTAACCTTGGTTCCGATAAAAAAAATGCGATTTTTTAAAGATAACTACTGCTCTTTCTACTTTTTGTCATTGAATACGTCAAATGAGATGGTGTACACATAGGTTACTACTATTTTTCATTCAACTTTAAATATATTGGGCAGTTTTGAGCTTATTTCTGAATCAGAATTTTTATACTAGACTCTAAAAATATTGCAATTTTCATCAAATTCGTACTTCTTTTTTTTAATGTAAAATACATTAAATGAGAAACAAAACCCTTTCCAATCAGAAAACTGTGACTACTTTGAGACACGTTTTTAAGTCATCAGTTTTTTTTGCAAGTTCCAAAAAACCCTACTTTATAGTGCCCTGACACTTACTACATGTTCAAAATTTAGTATCATTTTAACTCAAAATATTGTGTGATACATTTAAATATGACGGTATAAAAAACAGTAAAAATAAAAGTAGAGTCATACATGATTCTAAAGATTTAATTACAAATAAAACAACATAGAGAGTTAGTCTAGGGTTACAAGGTGCAGAGATGAAGATTTAGACGTTCGACATAGCCACAAAAGTATTAAAAACTCTGTTATGCATGCAATGACATGAAAACTAGATTATAGATAGCACAAAAAGTGATACGTAAAAAACAAAAAAGGGGGACCCCGAAAAAAAATTTGCACAAAGAGATAATAAGAAGAAAGAATTACTATCCTCACCATTTTTTTTGGGGAGATGCTTGTTATCGTCAGTTTTCATTCGTTTTAGGGCAGGACCGCCTTTCTTCACCTTTTCTTCAGAACAATCATCATCATCTTCGGTATCGCGAAGTATGATGGCCTTGTCATGATCATGATCAGCATCGTTATCACCGTTACGATTATTGTTATCTTCATCATAATCATCATCATCAACGAAAGCAAAATGATCGATGGCGTCATTAACATTTTGAGCGTCGGCATATTCATCGCTGCTGCCATCCTCATTGTTACTGACTTCATCGTGGCTGCTTTCTCTCTCTTCAATTTTTTCTAGTGAAGCTTCTTGTCTGTTTTGCCTATCTACATCATCTTTTTTGGACGTTTTATTGATATCCAGCTTAAATTGCAGCTGACTTTTGTACAAGGCTCCATCTTTTTTTTCATCCAAATGCTTTTTTCCAACATCTTGTAATGCCTTAATGAAACGTTTAATGTTCCGAGGTTAATAGTTAGCAAATTCAATAGCTGTTGAAAATTTTCTTGTTATGATTTGATGTATTTCATAAAAGAAGTGCCAGTTGCCAGTCGAGAAGCAAATACGTGGGTGGATGTGCACAGTTTTATGAAAATACGAAAAAAAAATTTTCTTACCGGCTGCAGTGATAAGCAGTATTTTGATTTTTTTGTTTGCACCTTCTCTTTCTGATTGTTAGTAGACTCTGTATTGATGTCTGGAAAAACATTACTTTTGACTTTGATGCCTACAGTTTTTACATCCGATCGCTTGTCGTACGCTGAAAATATAAATTTACTACTTAATTAAATAGACACTTAGTAATACTAAACATTTTATTACACGTACAAAATAAAACACAGCTTGGTAATGGAGTTTGTAGAGACATGACTTTACACATATGTCTGAATATGAGAGATAGAGATGGGGGTTTATTTTTAGATAGAATGAATAAGGTATATAACTGATTGATACCAAGGCTGAAAAGTAGTGAATGACGTGCAGAACGAATTTCTAAGGTATCTAACATTTAACACAAAGTACGTAAGTTTTAAGCCGTAAGACAAGTTTAATGCTTTGTTCGATAAGATAAGAGTAAGTTAAATTCAACAGTCTTGGGATATTTCAGAAAAAAGAGTTATTTTATTCTAAAATCTTGTGATTTCTTTTCATTTTTGAGTGAAAATTATCTCGATCATGTTATCAACCTTACTGTCTTATGAGACAAATGTAGAGATAGGATAATATCGTCCTCCGAGTAAGTATACGAGAAGGTGCTTTGAATCTTAAAAGAAGATTGTTTGAAATTGTAAGATATCAAGAAGCAGTAAAAAAAGCAAAGAAAAATTTTTTTTAGTTTACGATTGAATAAAACTAATGTTAAGGAACTAAAGCTTTGGTCAGAATTTCATTCCACTACCATTTCGAAAATGTTAAAGTGATTAGCCAAAGGACTATTATATTTACCATTTCCAACTTTGCTTCTTTCATCTACCTTGCCAACTCTTTTATATATATTACCGTAACTATCTTTATCGGTTTTAACTATAACATTTTTAATAATTCTTATCTGTGGCTTCATTTTTATCTCAGCCGTGTTGCTTTTTTCTGCCTGTAAATTGATGAAAATACAAAAACTCGGTAATAGTAAAAACCACTTGTCTAGTATTCATAAAAACTGTTATAATAAATGTACAGTGTGAAAGAATAATGACTTGCGATTCAAGATGACAAACCTGTTCTATGGATCGAGACTTCTCATCGAAGTCTTGAATTTTATCTTTACTAGTGGTCAGTCCCTTCCCACTATCGCTTGTGTCGCTGCTTTTATCGCTATGAGGATGAGCCTTGCCAATGTTCCGAGTCTCTGTTACCGATTGGTCCTGAGGTGCGGTCTTCTTACCTTTGGAAAAAGTATTTTAATTAAAACAACGAAATTCTAGATGATATTTTAAGATGGACAAAACACTGGGATTGTGGTTGGAAATTTGTACGCACTTGTACCGTAGAACCTTTGAGTTATAAAACCCTTTCTTTTGTTGGGTTGTTGAAACATATTGATAAATGTCTTCTGTTCCTCAGTTTTCACTAACTTAGCCACAGGCAGAGTTATTATTTTAGACGGTTCCGTTGATTTACACCTTTTAGTTTTCTCCTGTTGTGTCGTATCAACAACCACAACTTGATCACCAGGCGGACCAGGTGGAGGTATTGAAGAACCTTGGTTGTTGGATTGTTGTACTGGTGGCTCATCATTTATGTTAATAAATTGCATTGGATCAAACTCTGGTATTTTATAATCAGGTTGCTGAGCTACAAGTGTTGTAAAAATTTTACTGTTCGAATCTTCAGTTGGTGGGCATCCATTTGCGTTTGGTGATATTGACGATTGAAGTGTTGGATTTTGATGCTCGGGTTGATGAGCTGTAGGCGCAGAAGAAGCTCCAATTTCAGTTTGCTCGATTGGTTGGCACCCATTCACGTTCATATCATCAACTGTTATTTGAAACCCAGGCTGGTGAGCTGTAGGCAGGGAAACAACTTTACTCTCAATTTGTGGAACTGGTGGGCACCAATTTGTATTGTTCGGTTGCGTTGGGTCATTAACTTGTATCTTGTGTTCAGATTGTTGAGCCGTGGGCATGAAAAAACCTTCATTGTTTGATTGTTGTGCTGGTGGGCACTCATTTGTACTAAGTGGTTGGGCCGAATCATTAACTGGTATTTGGTGCTCGGGTTGATGAGCTTTAGGCATAGAAAAAGCCCCATTTTCAGATTGTTTACTTAACAGGCAACCATCTACGTTTTTTAAAGGTATTGGGGTTATAACGGGTATCCGAGTATCGGGTTGAAGAGCAGTAGGCCTGAATAAAGTATTATTATCAGATTGTTGAGTTGGTAGGTACCCGTTCGCGTTGATTGGATGTGCCAAACCAACAAATGGTATCCGACTTCCAGACGCATAATCTGTATGTACAGGGAAAGCAACATTGTTGAATTGTTGATTACACAAGCACCTATGTGAGTTCATTTGTTGCATAGAATTAAAAATTATTTCTTGATGATTGGACTGATGGGCTGCAGGCATAGAAAAAGTTTTACAACTAGATTGTTGCGTTGGCAAGCAATTATTTTTATTTATTTGTTGCCCTGAATTCACTATTGGTGCTTGATGCTCGTGCTGAGAAGTCGTAGAAACTGCAAAACCGGGATTGTTGAGCTGCTGAGTACACGTACATCTGTTCTGGTTCATCTGTTGGATTGGATTGACAACTGTTTTTTGTTGCATAGACTGATGAGTTGCGGGTACAGAAAAAGCAGCGTTATTAAATCGTTGCGTGCACGAGCATCTATTTACGTTGACTCGTTGCATGGGGTCAAAACTTTTTTCTTGATGACTGGACTGTGTTGTTTGCATAAAAGGAATAACATTATCGGATCGCTAAATAGATAAAGCATTTTTTTGGTTAGTATGTTGCATTGAGTTTACCATTGGTGCTTGATGATTGGGCTGATAAGATGTCGACAAGAACGGAGCAGTCCTACCAGTCGCGTGTGTATTAGCACTGAGCACGACTGGTGAGAAAGACGACAAGATTTGAGAAGTCTGTGGGATTCTGTTGCTGAATGCAAAAGAAGATGCGCTTGTTGAAGAAGGACACGCTATCGAGAATGTGTTAGATAAAGCGAGCTGTTGATGTTGAATCGCTTCCAAATTGATCTTGTGAATCGCATCTATCATAGCACGGTTTGCATTGAATTGCATCTGTGCTGTCAAGAGAGTTTGCATGCGATGTGGTTCTAGCAAGATAGTTTCGTAATCTTGCATCAAATGCATCTCCTGGCAGTTCTGTCCCACAAACTGTCTTGGTGGTTCATTCGTCGTCGCACGCTGACCAGTTCCCGCTGAATCCCCAGCTGAGTGATTGTTTCCATTCTGCTGCTGAGGGCCGAATGTAGCTTCAGTGGTATTTACGTTTGATGGTTGTGTTGGAACGCTGTTACTGACTGGTACATAGTTTTGTCCGCTTTGATAAGGATTAGTGGCACTCCAATTCATGATACCATGAGGACTAGATTTTTTCTAAGAGGTAATGAAGTTGACGTATTAGTGATTTTATGTTTAAAAAGTTGAACACATTAGCTTCTAAATCTATTTATGTTTTATTTTACGTAAGGGTGCTTTGAGTTAAAACGTGAATACTTGAAAAAATATTCATATCATAGCAAATTAAAACGAACTCAAAACTTTTCTTTAAAATTGTTTGGTTGAAGAATTTTTTCGGTTGAAAATTGACCGAAAAAATGTCACTCCAGCATACATTGTTTCATCATTTTTTCTATCCTTTTTATACAATTATGTTATTGTAATTTTATTGTACTGTTGAAAAAACAATTATTTAACTCATCACACGTGAGGAATAGTTAATTCATTGGCTTATTATTGTTAGTCATTACGGCAAATGTTTCTGACTATTGTATTTTTTAAAAAATAACAATAATTTAATACACTAAATGTNAAAGTTACGCATATTTTAAAAAAATTTTAAGTTTGAAAAGAAGCAATTATTTTTCAAAATAATTACTGTTTTACTGTTAAAAGTTAACCATACACTATCAGGTTACAATTATTTTCACTAGTACTACTTTTTTGTTTCGAGATATGTAAGGAAACAGCTCTGTCAATTTTATATTAATCACAGAAAGATTTTTATCTGAAAATTGGTGGTGGTTTACTATATCAGTATTATTGGAATTACGTCCAATTATATTTAAGATAGCTCCCTTGTCTACTGCTCTAGTCAAGTAGGAGAGTTTCACTTGTGTATGTATACGTATATACGTACATCAGTGTTGGTATTCTGCCACCGTCTGTCATTCATAACTATGAAGCTAATTTTAACGCCTTTCTTGGCAAATATCTTTTAAAAATGATCGATTACCATTATTTTTCAAGGCAGAATTTAAAAAAAGGAATTTTTTCTACAATTACATCATAAAATATCTGCTCAGATTTTTTTATTTTGAGTCAGAAAATGCTTGTACAGCTGATTTTTTAATGCTCTTCCATTTGAGCTCGTATTAAACGGTTGAACTTCGAGCTGAAATTTCTCGATATTTTGTACGATTTCGAGTATAAACAGAGTTACCATTGAACTCAGCAGATCTTAATCTACCACATTAAACATATTTTATTCCCCAGATTTTCGCAAAGGAGCAACCTTAAAGAGGATCAATGGTTTTGTAAAGAGACGAAGAGAGGTGTTAAAGGGTTTGCAGTTTGAACGTACTCGGTCGATAACACCGGAGTCGAGCTTCAGAGAGTGGACGTGGCCTACGTATCAGCGGCTACAGTAGTACGGCTGCTCATGGCCCCCAATTTTTGAATATTGGCTCAAAAAACGAGGTTTTTGCATTTTGTGGGTAAACCACTGGACCAATCGGAATTGACCGAGTCTGTAAAACTGGCTTGAAGCTCATAAGAGTGAGAGAGAGAGGTGAGATCTGGTCACGTGGTGAACCTCTCACTCACACTTATGAGCTTCAAGTCAGTCTGGCAGACTCACAAAGTCTATCTAAACGTCCCCTTGAATCCTATCACTATCACCTTCCGATGGTAGAATTATCCTCATTAAATTCTTCAATTTGCAATTAGCTAGAAATAATTATTTTTGTCGCTATGCCAAATTTATCAAGAGTAATTTTGCCTCTTGCATCATATTCAGCTTCATCAAAAAATATGAGCCAGAAAGTCATGAGAATAACGAAAAGATTCAGATTGAAAATGTTATTACCATGAAGTTAACTGCCAGAAAACTATTTGCTGTATATCTTTGAGATACCTAGGTGTGTTGTTGCAGTTAAGCATGGCTGACAACAGTGTGATATTGGCTGCAAGTACTTGCTGAGTTCACAGTACTTATGCAGGTAGATTAAAATGATACTTGCTTGGCGGCAAATTAAAATATATTAAAATCGATAAAGTATATCATATGCAGTCTATATACTCTTATAGCTCTATACTCCGTGTTTTTAAGATTTAAAAACGCTAGATATAAGTGTTGGATTCATTATCAATAAAATTGCTGAATAAAAATGCATTAAATGATCGCTTGTTAACAATGAAAGTGAATTGCACACTATATTTATGTTTTCGTAGGTAATAAATACAAATCGGTTGTACAAGGTGTGTAATTTGTTAAATAATATAAATTGTAAGTGATAAACTAGATTAACCAATAAACAGGCAACCTGCTATTTGTTTATGTGTGTTTAATATGGCTAATCACAGGTTAGTATGAGAGCATATTCAAATTTGTGTACTTACATCTGACGCCATTTTGACTAAGGCCCCCAGTGCTTCTATATACTTTGGGCCAAAATTTGTATGCGATACAACTTTAATTTATTACTTTTACATTTAATTTCACTTTTTTCTCTGTTATTAATACATTTAACTCGTAGAACGAACGTTTTTGGTCGTTTGTCCAAGTTTAAAGTCTTAACCTTAAGTGGTTTGCCTACTGGACCTCCCTCTCTCGAAAAAAATTAATTGACATAAGTTTTTTTTTACCAGAAAAGATTTCCTAATATGTTTAGAGAAAAACCCTTTTCTTTATTTTCATGAAGTTTACTCTATAAAAAAAGCCAGTTTCAGAAACTACGAACACAATCAATAAAAAGTTTGATAAAATATTTACTAAAAGAAATAAATTTCATCAAGACATAATCAATGTAAAAGGTAAAATAGATTTGAAGGAAGATTTTCAGCTATCAACAAATCTAAAGAACAAAGATAATTTTTTGAGTAAAAAATTAACCGCATCTAACTTTAAAGAATAAGGAATCGGCGTAGTAAAGAAAGTTAATCATCCTCATTATTTTATATGCCTGCACCACTTACGTCGCAACAGGAGATTTTTCTAGCACTCATGAACAGCTTTTTTATACCCCTCCCCCTCCTCACTTCACTTGACATCATACAACCTCCATTCCCTTTGTCTTCTTTTTAACTTCACTTTTTGATTCCTTTTCTAGTAGCCCTTGTTTTTACTGAGCTGTTCACCGTTTGATGTTTTTAACAAACACCTCAAAGCAATATCTGGTTTGTGGTAGTCCTCACTGATTTCTCATCGGCTATCTAAGAAGTGACGGCAAATCAATTTGAGTATTTTTATTATATAAACTATACTATTTCTTAAAAATACATTTTTTAATAACAACAGTGCAACTGTGACTTTGTTACAAGTATCAATCGTTATTTAGTTACAAAGATGTTTTTTTTGTATATTCAATTATTTTCAAGGGTCATTCTAGTGTAAGATCAAGATATATTTTTAATAATATTTATTTTTTGGAAATCTTTTATTTAACTACAGAGCAGTGATGTCTGCGAGCTTCACGCACCAACCCCAAAATTAATTTGAACACTTATTTACACAGTTTTTAAAGAAAATAATAATGACGACCTTTCTTACAACATAATTTTTTTATCTTTGTTCAAGCTATTTTTTAGAGCTCCCTTTTTGATCATTTTCAGATTTTTATTTTTAAATTTCGCGGCCCAAAACAGTCTTAACCAATCATATCACAAATAAAAATGCTTGACTCACTTGGCAATAAATATTTTATCTTTTGATTCTAAATATAAATTACTTTTGTAAAATCTCAAATGTATCAATAAAAATTATTAGTTATATCAAAGAATATGTCTGAAAATACGTACTTTTATTATGTATTTTGTCGGTTTCTCTAATAACCAATTTTTTATTCTTTTATTTTATTACAAATAATTAGTAATATAACTTTTAGATTAACTTGATATTACTCAACTATAAATTTGCAAATCTAGACAGCGTTTTATAAAAAAAAAGCTATATTATGGACACATGAAGAGTGTAAAAATAACTAATAAGTCTATTTTTAATACACTGTAAACTTATATGTACACTTATTATTATTAGTACACTATACACTATATTGTTATATTATTTCAAACGTAAATTAGTTAGTGCTATCTTAATGATTATGGATAAGCTTTAATCACTTATACGGTATATGACGACTCAAGGTCAGAGAGATAAAGAAAGTTTCAAATACTACAAGTATTGTTATTTTTAACTTCACCCCAGACTATCTGAGGCTTCTTTACTTTCAGCCTAAGGCTATAAGTATACAGTTTTTTATGCCCTTACTACTTACCTACAGCTACTCAGAGGTTAATACTGTCGTTCAGGGAGCGGACAGGAATGTTTACTTTCCAAACTGATAGCATGAAAAATCTTTTTCCTATAAAAACGTATGGGTGTATATTACGATTATTTTAAATGATAAAACTACGCAACGAAATTACGCATTAGGTATACTTTGATAAACACACGTCCGCGGTGACAGCATTTTTCTTGTAGCGTCGAGACAAGTGATGATAGTGAAAAAGATACCTGATCTTGATTTGTTCGCGAGATCAAGGTTGGGCGACTGCGGGTCGCCCGGAATACTAGTGCAGATATACAATGACCGTGTATTTTTGGTAAAGGAAAGTTAGTATTGTTCAACTTACGGTCGCCCAATCTTAGTCTCCGAACAAATCTATTCTGCAGATGTAAGAAAGTGCACTAACATTAGCGTATAAAATCTTTATAAAAATCTTTCTTTTTTACACTAAAGACACATATTCAAAATCAAAGTACATTACTTTTGATAAAATGTTCATCTCTCTCTTTCTTTGTGTGAGTGTGTGTATGTATTCCCATGCGTGTGTGTGTGAGTAAACAGTCATGTCATAATTTCTTTTTGCACTTTTTTTTGTATTTTCATTTTTTCAATTTATAAAAATTGTTTTGTTCGAAAAAACCAATTTTTTACCTTTTAGTATAGTCTTGCATCATTTGATGGTGTTAATAAATCGACAAGATTAAAAAATTTCCAACAAAATTAAGTATTTTATTAATTTAGATTTTTTAAATTTTTATATAAACGAATTAAAAAGTATTTTTTAAGCTTTCTATAGTTATTTAAAAATATTATTTATGAAAAAAATGAAAAATATCATGAATTAAACAGTTTTTCAATCATTTAGACCATTACAATATTAGATATGACTTAAAAAATTACTATGATGAGTAGTAAATTGCTTTGATTGTACTCAAGGGCTCTATAAAGTATATTTATATGCTCATTACTAAACCTTAAAAACCAAGCCAACTTGAATGTACTTTTATTTTCTAATTGTTACAACAGTCCAATGAAATAAGATCTGAAGTTGCTTTTAAAAGGTCAAAATTGATTTCAACAAAATACGTTTTGAAATAGGCATCAAATTTATTATAAAAAATTACACTTTTTAAAACTTTTTAGAATACAAGATCTAAGAAAAAGGATAGGAAAAGAGAAGATAGTCATATAGAAAGCAACTGTTGAGAGGCAGTATAGTTCATGTCAATTCCACTGAACGGCACCGTATAGAATCAACGTGGGAAGACAGAGAACGACTAATGCCTACATGCAGGCTTATCTCACGGTGAATCACTGACTTACTTCAGTGCTAGCTTAATCTTTATTTCGATCTTACTAGTAGTAAAGTATAATATAAAAATTTCTACCAATGAATTTTTATTACTATTGTCACTAACATACCAAAGAGAATTTTCTAAGAATGAAGAGAAAAATTTTCTGTCGACTGAATGTATTTTCTTACACTGTAAAAAAGTGGAAATCTATTAATCGTAAGAGAGCCGTTACTCATGCACCAGTGACGAGATATTCGCTCGACTCGGGTAATGATTTATTTATAGAAATTTAAGAATATGCGCTGAAAACCAAGCTTAGAGATAGATCACTTGATTAGTTCAATGCAAATTATATATAATATGAATAAAGTCAGCCGATCCATCAACTTCCATGTATCTGAAACTAAATCTTTCAAAATTACAGCCCGTACTTAATGATATTATAAATTCATCATCCGCAAAATTTTTGAAAAATTTAAAGAATATTTATTTTCTAGACTACTTTTTTAAGGCATCTGACCAACTTGTGAACAGGTGTTTGTATATGAGTTGATTCATAAAACATATACCGTCCTTGTCCCCCATTTTTTAATAAAATTTTCTTGATGGGGCGTGTTTTGCCCACAATATCACACCATGAGGAAAAAATTGTGGGTATGAGTTTCAGTCAATGTAAAACCCTATTTTTCATTTTTAATTCAATTATATCTCTGTGTGTATTTATATATATTAGCAAATCCACATAAAATATCTTGTTTTTCTTTCCCATTTTAATAAAAAATGATCGAACAATTATTATTATTTTGAAAGAAAAGCCAAGTTGCAGAATTTTTTACTTTACATCGTATAAAAGATAAGGGATGTAAAAAAAAACTTTTATGTTAATTTTTAATAAAAATAATTAAACATACGTATCTAATAATCTATTCCTTCAAAATGTTAATTTTGAAATTTGAGTTATAGTTAGTGTCACATACAACTGAATTTAGCGAACAGTTGTTATAATGGCACATCGTTAAAGATAATATGATTATTAAACTATATTATGAAAATAGTGAAATTGTATACGTTTAATCATTTGAAATACTCGTAATCAATCTTCATCACTGTTCATCGTACTCAGAAAATAAAATTTTTTTGAATTCCAAAATTAGTTGCATCTACATCACAAGGTTAAAATTTTGTTAGAATTCACAAATTGATTATAATTTGAAACAGTGTGTCAATATTTGACAATAAAGCAGTTAAGGTTGAATAATGTGAGGCTAAATTTCACATACGCAACAATAATAGGTGATGAAAAATAAAAGTGAGCCTCAATGTATTTTTCATTTGCTAATATTAATAATAAAAACATACTCCTGCTCTAGTAAGTAATACTTTAAACTATCTTTGTCAGTTTATTTAAAAAAAAAAAAAAAAAAAAAAAAAAAAACAATAATATTTTGGTTAAATAAATGCAATATATTATGTATGTCTTTCAGTTGTGCATGGTTCTTCTACGAAATCAATGTCACGTGTGTAGACTTGAGGTGGCTCATAACAAACGTCGCATGTATGTGGGGCCCCGTAGGGATCTTAATAAGTTATATGTTTGTGGTGTACAATATTTTTGAAAAACACATGAAAAGGTCAATGTGATGGCATATTTGAACGAAGACAAGCGGTAAAAACATATCGATCAGGATTTTTTTTAGGTACACTAAATTACGTGTTTGATATCCAATCAGACAAGCCGTTTGCTACATATAGTGGTGTCAATGCTCATACACATATACACTTTGTTTATACGGCTGGCACACTAACCTTTTTATTTACATGGTAATAAAAGTTATGGCTTTAAACATTTTTGACATTAAAATTTTCCTGATGTTTCAACAAATATAGCAAAATAACAATTTTTTACTACGAAAAAATCTATGATTGGTAAACGTGCAACACATTTGATATCTTTCGACATGTTTTAATTTTTTCTATTTTCATTGACCCTTTGCTCGTTTGCACAACAAATATTGTATATTTACTTAACACATACATAGCTTACTTTCTCAATAAAACAAAACATAATATTACATGGTAGGCCCGTTTTTTAATGTTATTGATAAAGTTTTTAAGTTTTATATACGTTACTAGATAATCATATTGCGAGTATATTTAAAAAGATATATAATATCCAATAAAAATTGAAATTACTGAAGGAAAATGTTTTTTTGGCAAATTATAACCTCGTCAGCTGTGGTTCGAACTTGAAGTATTTCGATTTCCTGCGAAGAGCTACCTCAACTGAAGGTATACTGACAGACATTCATTCGTTACGCGCGAAATTTAAATATCGCTAAGAGAAAAGTTGATGTGAGGCAAACAGCGAATCACAAAACAGCTTTTTAAATTTTGCGCGTAACAAATCAATGTCCGTCTAGTGTAAGTACATGCGTGTTATGTGTTATAAATTTAGAAGACGCATTATAGATGCTTCGACACATCATATACTATACATGCTCAAATTCGCATGAATTAAACAAGATTCTACTGCTTTAATAAACTAATACTCAAAGAATTTTTTCTGTAAAGATTGAAGTGAAACTACTGTAGGTTAGTGTAAGATGCAGATCATTTATGACATTTATTAACATTGAATTGGGTCAATAAATGCCCACAGTATATATAGACCATTTTCCTAACCCCTGATGTATTTTATACAAAACAGAGCATAACATTTACAAGAATTGTAAGCAATAATAAGTGTAAAATCCATTAGAGGTTAGAAAAATGGCTAACATACATTTTGTGTATATAATTATCTCTAATGTATTTTAGATAAACTTTGTTGTGCCTAAATTTATGAAAGAAAACTTTGAAAATAAATTTTAAAAAGGTACTAACCTTTGACAAAATTAGATAAAAGTATAATAACGTTAAAAAAATGTGCAAATTACAATAAATGTTTGAATTCGTAGATAATAATATACCTTTGATTAATAAAATTTTCTAAATATTAAATAAAATTCTGTATAAAATATCGAGGCAAAAATTTTTAAATATTTTTTCCGTTTTGATTGCAATTAGCCTAATCATGTAGCTATTTATTTTGTACTGTATTGATTTATACAAAATGAAAAACTCATATTTATGTAAAAACATGACATTAAAGAAAGTTAAAATAAAAAAACAAATTACTGTCGATTTTTGGGCACTACACAATTGTTTTGTTTCCGTAAAGCATGAATACAAAAATGTTAGTGCTACTTTACATGTCTCTGGAAATTCTTTCTCACGTTGAGTGACACGAACGGATTTTTTTCAAGATTGAAGCACAAATAATAAGAAACAAAGTAACAGATTTCTTCATGTGCACTTCAATTGATGGATACGGTTGTGTACTGACTCACCTATATATTTGTGCACCTCGATGTTTTAGGCCAGCTTGCAATGACTCAAAGCAATGGTTATTTGTAAACAATTTCTCTTTGTAGCAGACAACACTTTTTGTTAATTTAAATTTGCATACATCGTATGCAGCAAACGGTTAGTACAATCTTTCGCATCATTACAACTGCACTCTTCCATGTATCACATAGTACTGAATGTTACAGTACTACACTATGCAAAAACAGCGTGAAAGTGAATTCAAAAACTAGAAAACACACGTTCTCTAAGCTGCTTGTATTCAAAGACAACGGCAGCCTATTGACTAATCCCAAAGGAGAGCCAGGGGGGCCCTATTCTTGATACTATAATTCCACTTGTCAGACGTGTACCGTCAGTAGAAGAATGTTTTGTACTATACATTATGAATACATTTCCAAAATAGAGTGATTTCTCTTAGTATGAAGTTCAGTTCTGCTCTTCACGACTAACACAT